CGCGTCAAGCTGTAAGTGGCGGGCGTCGATAAACACATCATCACCGTGGCTGGCGAGACGACGTGGTTCTAGGCTATCTCCGCGTGGGCAAGATGAAGATCCCACTGCTGGTCGTCACGAACAATCTTTCGGAGAATATGTCCGAGAGTTTTGTTCCTGACCTCGGTTTGACCATCAGTCTGGGATGGTAAGACGAGGAGAAGCGGAGCTGGGTGTCGTACACCTCGTGGAGCCGTCGCCAGAATCGGCTGGTAAAGCGCGGGTCACGATCAGATATGATGCTCAGAGGTAAGCCGTGGTCATGCACGACTCGGTCAAACACGATGTCGGCGACCTTACATGCACTGATGGCATAGCGACATGAGACAAAGTGTGCGTGCTTCGTGAGGCGGTCGACGACAACCAAGATAGCATCATGATCGCGGGGGGTCAGAGGACGAAGAAGACTGATGAAGTCCATTGAGATGGACTGCCAACGACCCTCAGGGATAGGAAGAGGTTGGAGCAAATCATAAGCCGGGTGGTTCGCATTGTTCACCTCCTGACAGGTGGGACAATCGACGACGTAGTCCTTCACAAAGTCCTTGCGCTTCGACCAGACGTACAAGCGGCTCACACGAGTCAACATCTTGTGGAAGCCCATATGACCGGCGGCTGCCTAGGCATGGAACTGAGGAACTCCGCTACTGCCTGGATACATAGCTGTCCAATGGAGGGAACACAAATACGGGGCTCTCTGGTGCCACGTGAGCCGTGCTAGTACACAAGACCGTTGTCCCCGAGATAGTAGTTCGGGACGGTCTTGCCACTCTGAAGGGTCGCATGGATGTCGCGATAGTCGGGACAGTGGCGGTACTGGGTGCGAAACTCGTCGATCACCGAGTGGTGGACGATGGTGATCGAGATGACATCAAGCTGGATCTGCTCCAAATCATGTTCATGGCGCCGGGATAAGGCATCTGCGACCCGATTAGTCTCACCCTTGACGTGCTCAGTGGTGAAACTAAACTCGGATAGGTCGCGCCACCAGCGAGCCTGTCGAGGAGTGAGCTTCGACTTTGTTAGAAAAGCCTGGACAACAGAGTTGTCCGTGCGCACTGTCAATGATGCCCTGTGTAGATAGTGACGCTAGTGCCGAGCGACATAAACTACTGCGAGAACCTCACGTTCATCGACAGTGTAGTTTATCTCAGTGGGTAGGAGCTGACGGGAGTAGAAGGCTATCGGACAATCACCTGAGCGAGACTCGACATTGTCGTCCTCGGCGATGGTAGGAGAATAGTCAATAGAGGGCTCGTTAGTAGCTAGACGAGTAGGCGTCAGGCGGGAAGCAGTGGTAGGGGTAGGGGGTGGGAAGCGAGGGATGCGAGGATGAGAGGAATCGGGAGAGGAGGGGAAAATCTGAGAAAGCAGTGCTCCTACAACAAAGTCTGACGCATTGGTGGTAAGGATAAAAGAGCGATCAAAATCGGGTAGGTGAAGAACCGGTGCACATGTCACCACCTTCTTGAGGGTGCAAAAGGCGTCCTCGTGGAGGGCTATCCAAGACCATGGCGGGTTCTACCGGAGGAGGGTGGAGGTAAGGACGTAGGAATACCTAGTGTATCCCTGAATGAAATTACTTTAGTAGCTAGTGAGGCCTAGGAAGTTGCCAAGCTACTTGGTGGATGTGGGGACAGACCACTCCGCAATAGTAGTGATCTTCGCGTCATTCATGTAGAGACCCTAGTCAGACATGGAGTGTCCTAAGAAATCCACTTTGTGTTGGGCAAAGCGACACTTGCTCAGCTTGGCGTAGAAGCCATGTCTGCGCAAGCGGTCAAGGACGTCGAGTAGGTGTCTGAGATGCTCCTCAAGAGTACGATTGTAGATCAAGAAGAACGTACTGCTTCAGGATGTCCCTGAAGACGTCGTTCATCGCCCTCAAGGAGGTAGCGAGTGCATTGGTGAGGCCGAATGGCATCACCGTAAACTCATAGTGGTCGAAGCAAGACTGGAACGTTAACTTTGGCTGGTCCACTGCAGCGACGCGGATCTGATGGTAACCGCTACGAAGATCAATCGTTGTAAAGAAGCGGTTGCCTGCTAGGCGGTCGAACAGCTCGTCGGAAGAAGGCATGGGTTAGTTGTTCTTGACCGTGTAGCGGTTGAGGCCGCAATAATCGATGCAGAGACGAGGAGTTCCATCCGCTTTGTGAGCAAAGAGGACGGTTGCACCCCATGGGGAGTTGTTGGGCTTAATGAAACTCAGTCTCAGGAGCTGCTCAAGCTAACGCTTGAGTTCAGTGGCCTCGGGGATCGAGAGTTTGTAGGGTGCCTGCTGGAGAATACGATAGTCAGGCACAAACTGGATGGAGTGCTCGACGTCGCGCATCGGTGGGATGCCGTCGTATGAGAACGACGATGGGAAAACCTCTGGTACTCTCGAATGAGGTCATGAATTGCGGGCTCCAGGTCGGCCGTATAGCGTGCGAGTTCCTCAGCGCCAGCGTCAGCGTGCGACGGCGGGGTGGACTCGACGGACGGCGGAGGGAGGGAAGTAGAGATGGAAGTCATGGAGATAGAAGGAGGATCTGGCTCCAAAAAGATGAGCTTGGCATCTGGACAAGGTGGATCATAGTGCAAGAGATCCGTAACGTTCAGCGTAAAGAAGGTGACGTCGTCCTGTCGGATGGAGTGAGCGAACTGCAGAGGCGAGGTGACAGTGATAGTAGGAGATGGTGTGGGCACATAAGGCTCTGAGGGAGGAGGATCGGGGCGTGATGTTGCAGTGGTACCTATAAAAGGTACGTGGTACGTCTGTCCATACTTCGTTTTGAGAACGAAAGTGTTGGTCGCGCAATCGACCTCGGTGCTGCGGAACCGACGAGACCACGGAGTACCGAGAATGAAATCGTACCCTGTTTCCATCACATCGAAATGTGCAGAGGAGCGGTGACGACGAGACGCCGGGGGACGATCAGTCGGCTCGAGAGTGAGGAACTTGAAGAAAGGGAGGTCGGTGATCGTCTGATCAAAGAACCGCTGGGTCCTGTCATCCCCTAGGGTGACAGAGATGGGAGTCGAAGACCTTGTCGTGGGTAAGCGGGCTTCTTTTACCACACGTGGGTGAATGAAGTCGCCTTGAGAACCGGAATCCCACAACGCTGAGTATACCCTCGTGGAGGTCTCGACTCGTACTGGAATGATTGGGAGGGTGCGATCAGGGTCAGAGGGGATGGTGAGAAGGCAACTCAGTGCAGCGACATGGAGGGTGAGTCGCTCTTGACGAGCTTGGAGCATGCTCAAGTCCAAAAGGGAGGACACAACGTCCTCACGAGTCGCAAGCTGCTCACTGCAACGGGCTGAGCGAGTGGCTTGACACGTCGGTAGTCGCGGAGAGGTAGGAGGGGAGACGGTGGTCTGCAGAGACGCAAATGGTACTGTGACAGAGGGCTGAGTACAGTCTGTCGGGTCCTGCGATATCTCAACTCAAGTAGCGAGAGGGGCAAACGGCGACGGAGATGTCGGGAAACCGACTACTGAGGAGGGCGCAGGTGTACACTGCACCGTGGCTAGGAGACACCGTGGGGATGCGAGGCACCGGGTGGGGACTGAGCACGATGGTGACGAGGAAGCTCAGCGTAGTGGCGGTCGAGGGCGGCGGTGTAAGGCCACCGCGAGGACGTATGACCGTCTTGGCGGCAACGCAAACACCCACGCCAGCCCAAAATGGACGCACGCTCCTCAGCAGAAAGGACACCGCGAGGAGGGACGAAGCCCTGAGGGAAGTCCTGTTGAGGGACCTCAGGGGGCAACGCGCCAGCGTGCCCAGGAAAGGGTGGAAAGGGCGAGTTGGAGGCGCTCGACTATAGGGAGGGTAGAGTCCTCTAGGTGATAGTGGACAGCCTCGCAAAGGTCGAGGTCGTCACTATGGTTACCCTCAGGCAACAGTGGGGCAACATCGTCATGCTCATCATACTCGAGTGTGATGAAGCAGCGCGAGAAGTGGCGGCCTTGCTACGTGGAACGGCGGGGGCGACCGTGAAAAGGGGAATGACGCTTAGAAGTGCCATGAGAGACGGAGGGAGTGTAACCAGTATGCTGGGGCTGGGAGGAGGAAGCGGGGTGAAGACGGACCCGCATCCGCTCATGAGCCCTGACGGCCTCGTAGGCCTGCAGGGCCGATGTAAAGTCATACGACCATAACTCAAAGCGGTACTCAAGAGGAAGGTTGACCAAGAAGTGATCAATAAGGGCAGCCAGCCACATCTCAAATGAGGCGGGCGTCCCGAAAGACCTGGATGTGGCGGTCCAAGTCGGCAGCGCCACCAGAGCCGGACCAACGTGTAGTGACGACATGATCGAAGGCGTCAGTCACGTTATGTCGGGCTCCAAAGCGATCCTCGAGGAACGCCTGAAAATCCATGAAGGTCAAGGTCCGACCCTCATGAAGGGAGTGAGTGTAGAAATCCTCCCAGACGTCGAAAGGACCGCCGCGCAGGCGCGTGGAGAGGTGAGTCACCCATGTGCCGTGTGGCACGCCCATGAGCTAGAGCGTGCGGGTGGCAGACTGCAGCCACCGAGACACTCGTATCCCTGTACCGTCATACAAGACAATATCCGTCAAGCAGACGAGTGGTGCGCCACCATTTTAGCGGCGAGGAGATCGAGGAGCAGAGGCTTGCGCTACGACCGAGTAAGTCGACGCAGGTCCAGGAGAAGGGGCTGCAACTAACTGTACGCCCGGGCCGCATGGTGGAGCGGCGGGGGCAATAGCTACAGGCTGCGAGGGAGCTGCGGTAGAAGAGGTTGCAACAACCGAGGGAGTAAGAAGGAGGTAGGATGGGGGTGGAGGGGGTGCAGGGCGGGGGAAGCGAGTCTGCATGGATGGAAGAGTTGAGGAAGAAGGGGGTGCGCCCGAAAGCGCGACCACCTGTGAGGGTAGGGGTGGCTGAAGTCGTAAGCGGGCGAGGTCGGCCCGGGTCAGGGCAAGCTCGTCCTCGAGACGTCGAACGTAGATTCAGCGAGGAGTGGCAGGAGGAAGAGTGGGGGAAGTGGACGCACGAGTGGCGCGAGGCATCTCACAAGGGGGAGAGCCAGGTGACACTGAGGTCGTGCGAAGGGGAAAGAAAAGCGGGGCACCTGGAAAAGCTGAGACCGCGGCAGAGGGCTGTGGTCCCATGGCCGTAGCGACCGAAATCTTGGCGGGTGCGCCCGTAAAGTGAGGGAAGGCCTGACCCGTGGTGGCCGTCGCGCTAGGAGCGTGGATGGTCATCAGGATGGTTGGGTCGGGGGCAGCGGAGGAGAAAGCTCCGTCGTGGCCACCATGTCCGAGGGCGAGGGAACCGGGCTGGGAGCTAGGGGAAGAGAGAGCGTGGGGAGAGGAGGGACGACTAACGTCCTAGAGTTGCCGCAGGCCAGCGGCAGGAGTCGCTACCTGCGCCTGTGAGGGGGCAAGCAGGGAGGTGAGGAGGGTGTACAAATCCCCTAGGGGATGATATCTCTAGTCCACCGGCACGGGTATGGAGCCCGGTACCAGGGTCGTCGCCATGTTGGCGGTTTGTGACACGCCGTCGGCTATGGGGAGGGGACGGGCCGGACTAAAGGGGGACAAAGGAGGTCCGTGTGAGCGGAGGGCGTAGGGGGGGGTCCGCAGTAGAAAGCGACGGGCGACCCTAATGAGTTAAGCGCGGGCGCCCGCAAAGGGGGAAGGGTGGCTCGGGTCCAGGGTGCCCGAATGAGAAGGGGAAGTAGGGGGGGTTGGGAAAACCCAAAACCCTAGAAAAACCCTAAGAAAACCCTAACCGGAGTTTGAGTGGTTAGGGTAGGGTACCGGTGACCTAATCAAGAAAATAAAATAGCAAAGAAAAATAAATAAACGGTTAAATTTCAAGAGAAATAAATAAATAAATAAATAAATAAATAAATAAATAAATAATAAAAATAGTTAAAAAAATAAGGAAACAAAATATGAAGAGAGAAATAATATTATTTTTTTTGGAATTTTCGGTAGCATTTCCCTACCCCTCATGAGGTCAAAAATGTGCCAAGGGAAAGGAGAGACCAAGATAAGCACACTAAGTTTCAAAATGCCGCAAATTAAAATTTTAGGAAAAATAAAAATAAAAATAAATAAATAAATAAATAAGTAGATGAGGAGGTGAAGAAAAATTAAGTGTTAGATTTTTTTAAAATTTCGGCAGCATTTCATTACCCCCATGAGGTCGAAGTGTGCCGGCAAGAAGAAAGGCTAAGTAAAATGAGAAAATTTTGGCAACACTTCGTTACCCTCACGGGGTCAAAATGTGTGCCGAAAGCAAGAATAACCAATTCCTAATCAGATTTGAGGGTGCCGCAAAGAAATTCGAATTTTTAGAAGAAATAAAAAGAAAATGAAATAAATCAGAAAATGAGAAAAGAAGGTGGGGAATAAGATAATTTGAATTTTTGAAAACAAGAGGAAATATAAATCAAAAGAAAGATAAAAAGAAGAAAAACAAAACAATTTCAAAGTTGGGGGGAAGGGGGGGTGAAAAAGTGAAGGAGAAAAGAGAGAAATAGGTGAGAGAGAGAAAAAGAGTGAAGGGGGAGATGGGGTTGAGAGAATGGGAGAGAAAGGGATGAGAAAGGTGGAGAGGGATCAAGAAGCAAAGAGAAAAGAGGAGAAAGAAAAAAACAAAAATGAATAAAATAGAGTAAAATAGTGGGTGGTGGGAGAAAAGGTGGGGTGGGGAGAGGGGTATGAGTAGTGAGAGTGATTAGAAGGAAGTGAGTGGGGTAGAAGATGAAGAAGTAGAAGGGCTGAGTAAGAGGAGAGAGAAAATGTAGAGAAAGTGGATTAGTAAGGGGAGGGAAGAGAGAGGTGATACCTGGCCCTTGGTGTCTCCAAGGGCACAAGGTATACCAAGACTAGGAGGGTCTTGGCCGTCACTCCAGCAAGGCAACTGGAGGAGGGAGAGGGTTGAGATCTTGATCAGGCCCCCTAACAGCAGCACTGCAGATCCAGGGTGTGTTGTGTGAGCAGACTCTCACCACTGTAGAGCAGCCCCTGATCAGGGGGTCTTCACAGTCCACAACAGGCTTCCATATGACACTGCAGATGGCCACGGCCACAGGCAGCAACAACCATGGTGTATCCCCACCGCCAAGGGGGATGGGAAGCAAATAGTTGCCTGCCTACTGTTGTTGTGTTGGCCGGTGCTCGACGGGGGGGGGGAAGGTAAATAGCTGGCACAACACATCTTCAACACCACCGTGCCACCTTATGAGGTCATGCACACATTGTGGCCAGTGTGTTATAGAGGTGGCTATGCACGCGGATGGCTAGTAGCTGCCCAGGTTCAAACCCTGGCAGCTGCAGCATCCCGGATCTTGATAATAAATAATCCAAGAGTCGGGCGGGGTGGGGCAGTGGGGCAGCATGGACACGTGACACGTGCATGTGCGGCGGCCTTGGCCTTGGTGCGCGTCATGATGCTGCTTATATTTTCTCGCCACGTGACACTCCTTGCTGCTGCACCTTTTCCCGACCTTTTTTCCCCACTGTTTTCGTCGAAAACCGCCCGAAAAACACCCAAAAAACCGATATCGGGTTTTACACCGTTTTTCCACGGTGTGCGGTGGGATGGGTGGGAGCGGGAACGTCCCCGATCCGATACCTGTGTGGCAGACCCACCAGGTGCGGTGCTCCACCTAAGATAGAGATGGAGATGGAGGATGGGAGTGGAGCAAGATGACACAGCGCAACTCCCACGTGAGACTCAACGCATGTACTCCAAACTGTGGGAATGCAGAATGATCCGAAATATAGACCCTGGTTGGGGTATACCCCAGTGGACTTACTGGACTGGACTGGACTGGCTGGTACCGACAGAGATACCGGACTGGACTGGACTACCCTGAATACAACACAGGCCTGTGAGAACAGGCCAAGGGGCTGGTCTCACAGGGCAACCAGAGGCTCGCTACACTCACTCCCTTGTGGCTTTGGCAAAACTGTCAATAACTCAGCTGCAGCAGGAAGTATCGTCGATACTGTTGATAGTGAACTCGATGCGTGATTGCAAAATCCCCCCATTTCGTTAGATGGCGCCGTGATGCATGCAAGGTTTATCGTTTGAATAGAGATAGCTCCCGACTTGTTTGATATCCCCGTGATGCCCTAAGGAGCGTCCGCCACCGTTGTGAATATCACTGAACTTGATGCGTGATTGTTGAGCACCTCGGTACCATCAGATATCATCGTGTTGCGCCGGAGTAACCATTTGAATAGAGAAAGCTCTCAGTTCGTTTGATATCTCTAAACTGCACACAATTGAAAATGATGTAGCCCCCAAATTACAATGTGGCACCGTGATACACGCAAGAGCAGTCGATATATTTTTTGTTGTTGAATTTGATTTAGTTGCCTGTTTCGATTATGTTGTTGATGTTGATGAAATAGTCTCTGTTGTTGATGATTTTGATGATGTTAATAACATCGTCACCTACAATGGATTTACAGATATTGAGCTGATTGATGACACTGTCTTTATCGATGTTGTTGTTGATGAAGCAGTCGGTGATGACAGCTCCGTTGTTGTCCCAAACATTGGCAGAGATTGCTCTGCTGATGGCAGTGAGATGGTTGCCACCCGCTCCTTCATCGCTTCGCCGTAATCCATGCCTTCACTGAAGAGCAGATTGCAACTGGTTATTAAGGCTTCCGCCTACCGCCAATCAACGAAACTCTCCAGCGCCGGGTCCTCAACAATTTCTCAAACAAGATTTTCCAGTTGCCGACAATTGTCCTCCACCCATACAGCCGGTGCTACCCCCCCCCAAGCAACCGCCGGCCAAGCCTGAGTAGCGGGAGACAAAACAACAACCAAAATATGAATGCTATGTCGTGTCTCCTTTAATTCAATGATCCACACATCCGCCTGGCGTTGAAGATCTTCCCCATCATTGACAAACCACCATGTGTTGCTGTCTACTGCTGTTGCTATCTGTACACTCTCCGGGTTCCTTTGTGCAAGGACGCCTTACATGTATCGGCCACGGAGTGAGCCCACCCCGCTCGTATCGCCACGTAACTTCTCCAGGTCAACCTTGAAGCAAAGGGGTTGACTCGCTGTGCTCTCGGCGATGGTGCCAATTCACTTTGTCCTCCTCGATAACACCGAGGACTCAGTTCACACGACCACCGGGCCCGCCGACCAGTGTGTGTCCTACGTGCTTGCGCTCGGCCTCCGCGTATCGGGTTCTTGTAAGTGCGTTTTTTCTTCTTTGTTTTCCGAAAGTCAGTACATTTTTCTTTTTTTTTATTTTCTTAGTAAGCCCTGCCAATGAGGCAGGGCAGTCCGTTCTAGATTTCGTTACTTGGGCGTAGTAAACTGCAGAATGCTTCTATACTCTATTTCTGGGAAGATGTAGTAGAAGAGAAAAAAAAACAAAAGCGGAAACGACCCAGACCCAAATCGCCCGCCCAGACCCATATCGCCCGCCCCCAGTTTGCAACGAGAAAAAACTATATCCCTCAAAAGGGAAACAATGAACGGCGCCTTATACTAAATTGCAACGACCTTGACAAGATAACCTGCCCTACTACCGGTCTTAGGGACGATTGCGACCGGACCCTAATTTCTGCTGTCGGAGACCCCAAACGAACCCGTCCTAGTGAAGTTGTACCGCACGACCTTACCGAAAATAGAAAGAAATGAAACAACGAAAATCAAACCCACACAAGCGCAGCCTCTGGCTGCGAACAAAGGTCGTGGCTGCTCCTGCCAACGGCCAATGCCCTGCCAATATGGCCTGCCATGACCTAGGGCAGGGGATGTCTATTTCCATTTTTGCCATATGCGGTCTCACTATCTCCATGTGAATTGGGCGATCTGGCATTCCATGAAAATGTGTTCAATGGTCTCCACCTTCTTATGGGAAGGGAATAAACTCTGGCACCGCTGGCACCATGGAAGTAGCAGGCCTCGTTGTTCTAGGTTCGTGCGGTCTGTCAACCAGTCGTTGGTTGGCAAACAACGATGAGCTATCTGCCACTCTAGGGAGGTGATTTTCATAGGCTTGGATTTTTGTTCCCTGAACCAGTGGATTGGTGACAGGAGAGTGCGGTCCATATTAAGGTGCCTAGCGCAGCGACCATTAACGGTGTCCCTTAGATGTCGTTTGGGTCTGAGCATCTTATACGCCGATTTGACCGACAGTTGATATAGGCTGATGTCA